CATATGAGAGTGGCTTCACGGTCCAGTTTTAAGTTCATCCATGAAATGAACATGACTCGTGTGCTTGTGATTCTAATTTGTATACCCTGGTACCTAGAGCTCTCGTCCATGGATTCCACAGTCTTCCTGATGTGTCCGTGGCGATGTTTCTCACGCACCTCAGTCACGTTCCACACAGAATTCCAGGTTTTCCCCTCCACCCTTGTCCAGAAAGCACTCCTCCACCCATCACCAAGATGTTGCTAGGTGCCGTGCAGTTGGATCCATTTCATAGCGACCCTGTGCACAAGACACGCCCCGGCCCTGCGCTGTCCTCACAGTTGTTCTCACGTTTGAGCCGCCACAGTGCCCGTCCCTCTTACTGAAGGGCGCCCTCTTTCCTGCGGCCCCGCTACCAAGCACGATGCCCTTCTCCGAGGACAGGTCTCCTGACAACGTGTGCAAAGTTATGTGAGGCAAAGTCTTGCTATCCTTATGTCTAAGGAACACTCTATTTCTTCCAAGACAGATTTTGTTCTTTGGCACTCATGGTACTTTCCATTTTCTTCGCTAGCACCATCATCCAAATGCACTGATTGTTCTTTGATCTTCCTCACTCCATGTGCAGTGTGTACCAACACACTAAAGCCCAAACTGGGGAGCCATCTGCGGCTCCTTGCTTTACTTCACCTCCTGAACAATAAGTCCTGTCAGCTTACCCCCACCCCCACCCCCTCGAGACCTCACAGAGATCCACTGCTCCAGCTTTACTGTGCATCTCTGAGCCCCAAAGCACAGCATCTCACATCGGAGCTGCCGTGGGCGTCTCCTGACTGACTCATCCCCACGGTTTTCAAAATCCATTCTCCCCACAGCTTTCTCAGTGAAATCGGATCATGTCCCGATATAAATTCCCCTCGAGGCTTCTAGAATAAAGTCAAACACCTGACACCTGACTCCAATCAAACTGGATTCCATTGCCATTTAACCCCTTTCCATGTTAGACAGTATTAGGCATCCTTTCTAAGTGCTGGCGTGGATGTTGTACGTCGCTTGTGGAATTCCTCTGTGGGCCCAAGTTGCTGCTTTCTGTTGCCAGGGTGCACACTGTGCGTTTTTATGTATTGTATGTACACCTCTGACTGCCCGAGGAGGAGGACGGGAACAAAAGCCACCACACTGAGACAGTGACCTGCTCTTCTTGTTCATTTCCAGCTGGCGTCTGTGAAGGAGAAAGTGCGAGATGTCCCCAGCCTTTGTGCCAGATTTGATGAGATCTATGGGAAGCTGCACATCACTGGCCACGTCACCAGGCACACTGTGGATGCCTTGCTGTGCCACACCCCCAGGGACAGGACATCCCATGTGGAGCTGTTAAACAAGAGGCCGGTCAGCCGTCAGACTTACCAGCCCCTCAGCCAGGCCCTGTTGGCTGAGTAGCCTGAGGCTCAAACGCCCCCGTGGGTCTAAGGTGGAGCTGCCCTGCTTGTGGTGAATCATGGACTTCCCAAGAAAGTGGGCGTTGTGCCTTCAGTAGATACTGTCTGGGTCCTTGGGTCTCCTCCATGTGCTGCCACGTGTAGTAAGAGCTGGCCTGCCGCTCCCAGAAGGTAGTGAGTGTGCCATTGTGACCAGTCTGGAGACCAGCAGGCAAGTGAGCTCCCTCAGAAGCAGGGCCTCGCCTGGTAAAGTGCTGGAAGGAATGTGGACGGGTCTCTAGTGCCAGAGAGAACCCCTACTCGCAAACTGTCAGAAAGGAATTTCCCATCTGGCCCTGAGTGTGGCCAACCCCAAAAGACTGATTTCCAAGGAAGCTTTTCCCTTGCAAAGGAACCCTGGTGGCACAGTGGCTACGTGCTGGGCTGCTAATTGCAAGATCAGCAGTTCAAAACCACCAGCCGCTCCTCGGCAGAAAGACGAGGCTTTCTACTCCCGTAAAGCACTCAAGGACAGTTCTACCCTGTCCTACAGGGCCACCATGTGTTAACATTGACCGAATGGCAGTGGGTATATATTTTTTGCTACTTCATAGCAAATTATGCCTTTGCCAAATCCAAGAGGCCTGAAACTGGCCTCTTCTACCATGTGGGGAAACAGCCTTCAGTTTTCTCACTGTGTGACTGCCAGGTGCTTGCTTATTCCAC